ATAGTATTTTCCCTAATCATTCTAGATATGTCGTGGAATTCTCAAGATTTTTTTTCTTCTTCTCCATATAATCAACAATATACTGGATCGATATCTTATGATTTTCAGCAACAACAACAACAACCACAACAAAATTATTCTCTTTCTCAACCATATACTCAATATTCAAATGATAATTTTATACCATCACCTTATAATTTTAATTCTCAAGTAAATAATAATCAATTTTATTATCCAAATCATTATATATCACCAACAGCTACTTCAAATCAAAATGATGATGAACCACCATTATTAGAAGAATTAGGTATTAATTTCGATCATATATTTAAAAAAACAAAATCTGTTTTAAATCCATTTGCAATACCAGATCTATCAATTCGTGATGATATTGATCTTGCTGGTCCACTTATATTTTGTCTTATATTTGCATTTAGTCTTTTATTATTTGGTAAAATACATTTTGGTTATGTTTATGGTATCGTTACATTAGGTACATTTGGTATGTACGGTTTATTAAATTTAATGGCATCATCAGATAAATCATGTTCTGGTTTATTTGTAATAAGTGTACTTGGTTATTGTCTTTTACCAATGGTTATTCTATCATTTTTATCATTTTTATTTAAATTTAATAGTTTTATTAATATAATACTTACAATAATATTTATTCTCTGGTGTTCAATATCAGCATCAAAACTTTTTACTATATCATTAGCAATGATTGGACAACAATTACTTGTTGCATATCCATGTGTTTTATTTTATGGTGTTTTTGCTTTATTAACAATGTTTTAACAACAAAAAAAAAACAGAACTAAAAAAAAAAAAACATTTCTTCATTTTAATTATTATTTAGTCAATTCGATTTTTTGCTGCTAATGTTGAATCTGATAATGATTTACTTCTTGATGATTTAAATTTTAATTGTTTTTTAAATAAATTTGTAGAATTATCAAATTTACTTCCACGTTTATTTAAATTTGATTGACAATCAATTAATTTCATAATTGTTGCATCACTTTGAACAACATCAATAAATTCACTTTTTGTTATTGAATCAAAAATTTCATTATTTTTATTATCTTGATTTGTTAAAAGTAACTGTTTAACACGTTTTATTGCTTCATCATATGTTTCAATTCGTGCCATATCCGCATCGGATAATTCATAAAGTGCTTGAATTATATTTTCAAGTTCGATTATATCAAGTTGATGATCACCATCTGAAAATAAAATTAAAATTAGTCAAAACTACAGGATAGTGTCCATAAGTCATTTGATTGGAAATAATATAAAAAAGAAAACTGCATGTTCAACTCTCTATCTTATATTATTCATAATCAAAGACTGTCAGGTGACTTTTGATTTATCTTGTAAATATCAAATTTTGATTAAAAAAGTTGATAGTTTTGAGAGAAAATATTGGACAAATTTTAAAAATAATCATAATCGAATGAGCGGAGAATGTAAACGATATTTTTTTTAGAGTTATGATCTAATTTGAACTTTGTAACAAATGTTCGTAGAAAAATTAATTTTGTTTATTCAAGTGAAATGAATTTCTTAATTCTATTTACTAGTATTTCAATGATGTATTTAATTTACTACTAATCAATTAACAATTTAATCTTATATTTTATTATTTCCTTTGAGAGTTTAATTTAATGAAACTATATCTTAACATGATGATGTGAATGGCAATTATCTTTTTATTCTTATGAATAAATCATTTCATTTTTGATTTATATTAAACCAAAGAAAAAGAAAACAAAAATTTTGTAATAAAAATTTTTAAGAAGTCAAATTTTATAAATTACCTTGATCACATAAATCAAATGCCCATCGAATTTTTTCATTTGCTGATGCTTTAGTTGTATAATATAAACCTTTAATAAATTCTTCAAAATCAATAATACCATCTTGATTTGTATCATATGCACGAAAAGCATATTCAGCAAATTTTTCTGATATACCATTACGAAATAACGTTTGATACAATCTTTCAAAATCATCTAATGTTAAATAACCATTTGGTGTATATTTAAGAAAATCATAATAAAAATATTGTATTTCATCAGGTAAAAATGTTGTTGCACGTGTAATACGACGAAGAACAGCATGTTCAAGTGGTGGTGTTATTGCATGTCGACTTTTCTTATGACCCATTCTTGGTTTTTTGTTTTTAAATTGAATATTATGATTATGAATCAAAATATTTTCTACATTATATATTCATTATTAATACAAAAAAGAAAGAAAAAAAACTAAATAAATTAATTCATCATCTGTGACATCAATTCAACCTTGAATGTAAAACAAAAACATTTCCTTTTTTTTTTGGTATTCTTTAATTCTGTTTTTTTTTTTTTGTTATCTGTTATCAAAAACAAAATGATACAATTCATATCAATCTATAAAATAGATAAGTAAGAAAATATTGAATTTTTTTTAAGGTTTAGATACTAATCATTCTACTAGATAAGATAAAAAGAAAAATTAATATTCAAATTGATATTTATTTCTTTTTTTTTTACAAAAATTTAACTAAAATGTTTTTCAATACAATCGATCAATTAAATCCAATTGTTATTGATAATGGTTCTGGTATGATTAAAGCAGGTTTTAGTGGAGAAGATGCACCACGTACAATCTTTCCAGCTATAATTGGTCGTTCACGTTATAATACTATTATGACTGGTATAGGTCAGAAAAAATCATATGTTGGTGATGAAGCATTATCAAAAAAAAGTATTTTAACAATTCGTTATCCAATTGAACATGGAATTGTTACAAATTGGAATGATATGGAAAAAATTTGGTATCATACATTTTATAATGAATTACGTATTGTACCAGAAGAACATCCAATTTTAATTACAGAAGCACCATTGAATCCAAAAACTAATCGTGAAAAAATGATACAAATTCTTTTCGAACAATTTAATACACCTGGTTAGAAATTTTGCTTTATTCACACAACAAATGTTTTTTTCTTGTGCTTTATTTAGCTATGTATGTGGCAATTCAAGCTGTTCTTTCACTTTATGCAAGTGGTCGAACGACAGGTGTTGTTTTGGATAGTGGTGATGGTGTGTCTCATACAGTACCGATCTATGAAGGTAAAAATTTCTTTTTTTCTCATCTTTTCTTACTGAAATTAAACATTGGATTCTGTAGGTTATGCTTTAACACATGCAATTAATCGTCTAGATTTAGCTGGACGAGATCTAACTAATTGGATGGTTCGATTATTGACTGAACGTGGTTATGCATTGACATCAACATCTGAACGTGAAATTGTTCGTGATATAAAAGAAAAATTATGTTATGTTGCATTAAATTTCGAACAAGAATTAATAACTTCTAGTACATCGAATAATATTGAAACAAATTATGAATTACCTGATGGTCATATAATAACAATTGGTAATGAACGATTTAAATGTCCTGAAGCACTTTTTACACCATCTATGATTGGTAGTGAAGAAGATGGTATTGCTCAAATAGTTTATAATACAATTATGAAATGTGATATTGATGTACGAAAAGAATTATATGTAAATATAGTTTTATCTGGAGGTAAATTTTATATTCTTAAGTTATAATTGATCATATTTTATTTATTATTTAAAGGTACAACTATGTATCCAGGTATTGCTAATCGAATTGAAAAAGAAATTAAAATATTAGCACCATCAACTAAGAAAGTTAAAATTATTGCTCCATCTGAAAGAAAACATACAGTATGGATTGGTGGTTCAGTTCTTAGTTCATTAGCAACATTTGAAACTATGTGGATATCGAAACATGAATATGATGAATTCGGTCCATCGATTGTACATCGAAAATGTCTTTAAACAATGAATATACTTTATTATTTTAATTGCTTCTCTTTTTTCTTATATTCAAATAAAATTGAATTGAATAAAAATAAATAAATTTTGTTTATCATTTAGAAAAGGTATAAAATAATAATAAATCGAAATTCTAATTTAGTATATTTGTAGATTTCCTTCGATAAACATTTTAAAAAATTTATTCAAATAATTAATTCTAGATGATCTTTAACTCAAAGATTACCATCAATATGTATCAAATACAATTGTAGCTGTTGATGTTGTCTATCTAGTTTATCAGAGAGTTTAGTATCTGTCTGAATCTTAATAGACATAGGAACAAGGGGGAAACAACTGATTTAAATCAGCGTAACTCACACTTAATCAAATAAATCACTATAGCTTACATTAACTCATCCTAAATCATATTAAATCACCTTAGATGATCTTAGCTCATTTTAACTAACCCTAACTCAGAGTAAATCATATAAAATCAGTGTTTCTAATTTAGAAATACTTTTAACATGACCGAAATGGAATCGAAACTGATAGTTTTATTTGCTTAATATTTTAGCGTATTCAATGTACCTGACTAAAATGAAGAAAGATGTGCTTGTATTTATATGTACCAATTAGATATGTATTTTTATTGGACAAAGAATAAAACTCTCGTTTTTCGATTTAATCCGAAAATATATTCGTATATATAATTCTTCTATTCATCTACAAAGAATAGAATGGAATCTTCGTTTATTATGTTCATCATTTCTATTTCAATCATGTTTGACTATTGTACATATTTTATTCATTACTACTGGTATTTATGGAATTGTAGAGAGCATCAATATTCTACTCCATATGTTGCTGAGCAACTGACCCGTCAAATGATTGAACATATACCTTTACCGACGACAGAACAGTGATATTTGCTGCAGCAACATCTAAATAATTTCACGCTGATTCTTGATAATTGTCAATTGAGAATTGGTGACAAACCTGTGAATGCATGTACTTTAGCAAAGTACAAATATCCATTCACTGCCATTTCACTTAATATTTTTGATATTGACAATGATAATAATCGGTAGTTGTTTGTGGCGGTGATTATTCTGCACGAGCTTGTGCACTATTTTGAACCAGTTCACGTTGACTTTAAAGGCAACTACCTATTGTATTGTTCGTCAGTCAATGCTCAACGATCGGATGCATCGTTAGAAAGAATATTTGAGCAAGGCGAAACGTTTGAAATAATGATGTTGGGAGAAGTTGTCGGTCGAATCGATACAAATGCATTGCAATGGCGATGTTTAGAATCCGATAAGGATTTTGATTTTGTGATCAATCAACATCAATATCGTCATTTCTTTGTTGCATATGACTTGACGAACATACACAACATCATTAACAGAAAAAAAAAGACGTGTTCTCATTCGTAATTACTTTCGGTCAATTGGTCAATGTATCACCAACTTTATTGGGATGTTCAGAAGACCAACGACTAACTAGAAAATGACTAACAAAACAAAAAAAAAGAATATGATGTTTATTTTCACTTTTGAAATTGAAAATCTTTGTTTTCTTACAAATTGTATTTGAGTGAGAAAAGACAGATATATAATATTTTTTAAAAAGTTTAAAAACATATATTTAAAAGTTGAAAGATAAAATGATAGTGTAAAAGATTGCAATATTTTGCTAAGACTCAAAGCGATTACATAGGATGTATTATGATAATTTTTTTAAATTATTCATCTGTTCGATATTTTAATATATTTTGATATGAGTAAAAAATTGTTCAATTGATTCTGCAATATAAATGAGTAATTCAGCAAAAATGTACAATTATTAAATTGTTGTTATTCTCGAAGTACTACTGTGTAATGGTTTGATGACCTTATATGCAATATGCAGTTTGTAAATATACCGAATAATTTCTATATAGTCAATGAGAAAAAATAA